TAATAACATTCACTTTTATCCATTTCTTTATTTATACCTGCTGGGATTGCTTTGGAAAACATTCCAGAGTCTAGATCTACCTGTCTTTGCTGTGGGATGGATTGCTTCCTATATAGGAGGGGAAGGATTTTTTTCCTTCCCTTTGAAGAAGCTCCGTTGTGTTCCTCATAGAGTTTATGCTTCTTCCCCTGGAGAGCAGCATGAATGTGAAAATGTATGGTGGATGCGTACAGATCACAGAATTGAGGCTGGTTCTGTCTGTCCTGCAGCTCAAGTAGTACTTCCAAGAGGACGAATAGAAGCGTTGTGGCACTTGTGTCCCGCAAATAACCCTGCCAGAAATGTTGGAATAATAGAGCAAGGTCTATTTTAAAACTTTGTTTTTAGTTTAAATTTTATTTTTGATTTCTCGGTCTCGGGTTGTCCGATTACCACCCATGGGTCACTGTGGCTCATGAGCCAAGATAGGTTTTTAAGTTTTTAAGTGATTGGGGAAAAAAGTCAAAAGGAAAGGTATTATTTGGTAACTTGAAAACTTTACGAAATTCAGATTTCAGTATTCATAAAGTTTTATTGTAACACAGTGGGCCCATTTGGTTCCATATGTCTGTGGCTGCTTTGCAGCTACAACTGCAGAACAGAGGAATTGCTATGGGGACTGTATGTATGGGGCACAAAATCTAAAATATTTACCGCCTGGCCCTTTTACAGAAAAAGTTTGCCAACATTTGCTCTGTTTTGTTTGCATAAATGGAGGCATTTTTTTTTGCAAATTATTTTTAACGCCATACTTCTCTTTGTAAACTACATGAGAATACCCCCCCCCCTTAGGTGTAGAGTACTTTTGTTTTCAGGGTTTGCTCATTTCCCTCTTTAACTGCTCTAGGACTGAAAATGTAATCTCCTGTGGTGTGATTTAGAGCAAGCCTGTGGTCGGTCTGGGTTCTCTAGAGATACTGCACTGAGAGGAGATACGGTATCTGAGATTGATGGATAATCATAAGGAATTCGCTGCCTCGGTTGGGTTGTGGAGGCTGAGAGGTCCCTGGCAGGTGGGGGAGCCAATGACGTTACTCCATCCAGAGAACCGGGAGAGCTGGTGTGTAAGTTTTGGTCCCCATTCAAAGGCCGCTGAGGATGGTGTTCCAGGTAGCAGACTGTGAGCAGAGAGCAAATTCCCCCTACTCAGATTTTTGGGTTCTGTTCAGGCAGCCAATTGGATGAGGCCCATTTTTACTGGGGAGAGTGAACTGCTTTACTCAGGTATCAGGCTCAGCCAGAAACACCCTCACAGACAATCCCACAATAACATTGAGCAGATATCTGGGTGTTCCATGGCCCAGTCAAGTTGACACAAACAATTAGCCATCCCAGGGCCTAAATATACTTCTGCTTACCCTGACCTTTGTTTTTCTCTGTCCTCTTGAAAAGCTCTAGTTCGCGTGAGTGTTAACAGTCATCTGAACTTCCCTCATTGGTGCCTGTGACGTTGCCATTTGACCAGAACCGAGTTAAAGTTGGGTTGGATTAAGGGATAGTTTCTTTGTGTTTGTGGAGAATGACTTACAGTACTTTGTCCCAGTTTAGTTGATTGTCATTTGTTAGTACGACATCATTGGTTTTTTCCTTCTGCTTCATTTTCTTCTTTCTGTCTTCAAGGGGTGATCTCACATGTACTTAATCATTCTGATGAATGTCGCATCTCTGGAGTGGCTAGTTGGCAGCACAGGTTGGCAATTCCCAGAGCAGTCTGCAAAAGCCACATTGATAGGCGTGGAATTTGGACAGCAAGTCGCTTCTATTAGAGCATGTCAGCAAGCGGCTGAGGTGCGAGAAGCATGTTTGTGGTATTAGCTTCTTACTCAGCCTTCGTGTGACTTGAGACCAATCCCTTGACCTCATCTCTAATGCCCTCAAAACACACTACACCTAGCGGTCTGCTGGAAAGATTACATAAAATAAGCATGTGTGCAAAAAACACTGCCGAATGCCTTATTACCTAGTTTATTTTAATTGGCAAGACCTTCCCCTCCTGGTAAATAATTGCTTTTATGGCTTAATTTATTGATATAAAATGGCCTTGTCATTCACCTGTTGTAATTCAAGTCTGCTTCTCAAGGAAAGAATGAAAGTATCACTTGGCTTGTGTTTTTATCTGTTGTCCTCAAATTGATTGATTCTAGGCTGAGGCCTGTTGATGCAGGCCTCATTTTAATAAAACTTGACCAGATTAGAGCAAAGTCGGTCGTTGGGTTAAAGGAAATGTTTAAATGACAAGGAATTCAAAGAAATTCAGGATGTCGGTCTGAGATCCTAATGTGGGACCTGTTCTGTAGTCTGGGTCGCAGACTTACTATTCCGTTGGCCCGGGGCACCGTGGTGGCCCATCCTTGCAGTGGACTCTCAGGTGATTGTGCACTGCTACATATTAGCAACCTGATAGGGTTTGAATATTTATTTTAAACACTGAAATTTGTTTTGACTGATGCTACACTCTTGGGCAGCAAAGGTACTATCAAAGGTTTTTTGGGTTTTGTTCCTTTTTTAGTGTATCCTGCAAGTGCTCTTCCTGCCACCAGTATTCTGGTTTGGAAAATAGCTCTAATTTTTTTTTTTTTTAAGATTTTATTTTATTTATTTGACAGAGATCACAAGTAGGCAGAGAGGCAGGCAGGGTGGGGTGGGAAACAGGCTCCCCTCTGAGCAGAGAGCCCGATGCGGGGCTCCATCCCAGGACTCTGGGATCATGACCTGAGCTGAAGGCAGAGGCTTTAACCCGCTGAGCCACCCAGGTGCCCCAATAGCTCTAATTTTTAATGAAAACCTATAAATTTAAAGAAAACCTGTAAATTCTTTCACCTGTTGCTTATGGATTAAAGAAATGTGAATTTCTAGTGAAGGACTTTTTACCCTTTTGCTGTTGTGTTAATTTTCTGTGAAGCTGTTTTATCCCTGCTTGATCATTGGAGGTTCAGCCTGAGGTTTATGCCAAGTATATTCTACTAAATTCCTGCTTTTTTCTCCTTGAGATGATTATATGTAATGATTGTCTTTGTTTTTAAATGTCCTCCTGAGAAGACAAGTTAGGAATGACTTGGAATTAGCATGCTGTGAACATGTTCCTTGATTTGCTCTCAGATATATCCAGTACTTTTCCCTTATGCTGGCTGATCTGCACTCTTGCATCATGAATTTGTCGTAAGCAAACGAATTAAAAATATGTTATGGCTGAGATTTTATGAGATTTTAATTTAGAGATTTTATGAAATGTTCTCTCAGAAATTAGTGGAAAGCATGAATTCCTCTAGACATTTCTAGTTGCTTTTCGTGGTCCTATCAGTATCAGTGTAGAAGCGGGCCAGCGGGACAGTGTGGTTAGGGCGCGGGCTGGTGAGGCCCTCACCGCAGGGTACAGGGTGTGGCCTCAGCAGGGAATGGAAAGAGTGAAAAAGAACAGCATGCCTCTGGCCAACTGCTTGTCCTGCTTCCAGAAAACTTTTCTAGGCCACATTCAGATAAGAGCGAAGTTATTTTGGAATATTAACTGGGAGGAAAGGTCTGTGTGTGTTGTGAGCGTAGTGTTCCATTTTGCTGGAAGTCAAAGGAGAATTTGAAACCAGTCAGGGATTTCATTTGAAAAGCCAAGGATTTTTTTTTTTCTGCTTTTATGTGATGACTTGCAGGTACTTTAGTATCTGTTGTTTTCTTTTAGTATGTTTTCTTTTAGCCTGTGGATAAGTAGTGAGCATAAATAGGTCGATAATACTGGCTTTTCGTATTCTGTTCAGATAACTAACAGAGGAAAAGAAATCAATAATGCTGCGTTCGTTCGCTGATAGTTTAAATGTTGGTATTTTCTTGAGGGTAAATTGGGCAGAAGAAGGGAGCTCTCCTAAGAGCACTGGCCCCTGGGTGCTCACCACCTCCACCCTGGCCTGTCTCTTACTGGTGAATGAACAAACTGGGTGTCTCACTCCCTTTCTGTGCCCTTCAGGGATGCGCTGCTATTCTTATTTAAAACATTGTGTGAATTACTAGATCAGGCACCAACATTGGAACATGGGTATCAAATACAATCAGTCTAAAACAAAGGTATCAGATTCATTCATCGTTTTGAATTCCTCTCCTGTACCGGTAGGTGGAGTAGACTGAGAGAGACCGCTGTCTAGTTAAACCTGAGCATGAATTTCCTGTCAAACTCATTCACTTGCTTTTTCGTTTTCTTTTTAAAATTTCACTTATCTGGAGTTACTTCCTAGGAGGGAAACACACATATACAAAGATTTTTTTTTTTTTTCAGCATCTATTTCTTGTTGTTCATAGAATAATATTAGAGAATAGTTTATTTGATGTGTAGCATACACGGTCAATAATGGTAATTACCAGAATATTTAAAATTGTAATCCTGTACTTTTGAATATATTCTTTTACAAACTTAAATTGAAACCATGAAGAGGAAAAGGATCCTGGTATTAAAATAAACCTTTGCTGTAAAGTCCTTGTCATAGTTCCCCTGAATTCTGTTGTACGAAATATGAAGTAGCATCGTAGACTGGGGCAAGCCCGAGAGGGGGAGCCAGCAGACCTGTGTCCCAGCCCCATTTCTTCCAGTAACGTGTTCCACGCCTGGACGAGCAGCATCACCTCTTTGGACCTCTGGAAGTCTGGGACTCAGTATCAAAAGTTCCTTATAAGTGCAAAATCACTGAGAGTAATAAGGGGCATTATCTTCCATTCACATGCTTGATGGCAGGACTTCTCACAGCTCTTCGCCGAAGTTAGGGAGCTAGAGACACAACGGTATAAAACACGGACCCCGCTCTCAGGAGCTTTGTGTCCCAGTGGAAGGAGCCAGGCCCCGTGTCCATACTGGTAGAAAACTTAGAAATGTCATGACATTTGTCTAATTAGTTTATTATATATACTTCAAATCCAACTCAATCTTAGGCAGGAATGCTCATTCTAGACCTAATGATGTTTGCCTTTTCTTTTGATTTTAGGAGGTTGTTTAATGAAAAGTGCCATAGACTGAAAAACGAAACATGAGGGTAGCAGGTAAGATATTTAATTCAGTAGAAAAAGTTTTATTTTTTGCATAACTTGTTTATTTAAATGGCTAATGGAGAGAGTAAATAATCTTTTTCTAAATTAAGAACAAAGCTGATATATATAACAGACTGAATCACTACTTCACCTCCTTTTTTATGTAGTCAATACATCACAAATTGGACAAACTTCTGTGAAAAGTATACAAAATTTTTTTAAGTTATGGCTTTAATGTTTGTGTTCTTGCACATTAAGTTTATTTGCCTAATAGAATAAAATGCCCGTATAAATAATAATTTTGACAACCTAGTGAGACTGATTTTTGGTTTTGCTAAATTCTAGCTTTTTGAGAGAAAGAAGTCATGAAGTTTAAAAGCCTACATCTTTTCTATGTATGTACTTAAATAGAAACTAGTGTACGTGAACAATTCAGTAAAATGTATGTTTGCTTAAGGGAATATTTGCTGGTTTGAGTTCAGTCTGCATAAGGGAGGTTATGTGTAAGAACATCTGTTCCTTAGGCAGCATATTGAGGACATTGCAAAACACAGCTTGATGTTCATAGTATTAAGGTAACTATCTTTAAACATTATAAAAAGATGCATAAATAACGGGAGAGGCTGATGACCTCTTCCTGCCTTGATCATGAAAAAGTGTGTGTTCTCCCGGCCCTGCCTGTCCTTCAGCACAGCCAAGACCCTAGAGGAAAGGCACACTTTACCTAGAAATTTCTACTACATGTTTTGCCAACATAGAAGGTAACTTGTAATTTCTCAAAAGCAAGATAGTCTTTCTTGTAATTATCATCTTCTCACCAGCAAGCCAAGTTATTTTCCTATGGGGGGAGCATCTCTTAGAAGTCTCTAAAGTCGGGGTGAGTGAACAAACGAGGCTATGTGCTTCCGTCCTTTTGTAGAATCAGGTGCAGGTGATCCAACATCATGCTCATTAAGCAGAGATACCCGGGTTCATAGATGGCCTTGTGGAAATTTAGAAATCTGGACCCTTTGGTCATGAACTTACAAAACTATCCTTTTTTGAGTAGCTCTTCAATTGTTGAAGGAAAATATTCCCAGAAACTAAAAGCTTGTTTTTGGTTTAAAAAATGTATTACAGTGTCTTTTTTTTTTTTTAATGATCTTCGAATACGTCAAGACTGACTATTGATGATCACATGTCTCCACATTATTTTTAAAAAGTACATTAATTAAACATGGTGATTGAAATAATCAAAGCAAGTTGTCTCTTCCTCATGTAATTCTGCATTCATTCTTGTTGAAGTTAAATTTTCATTTGGTTCATTTCTCCAATTCTGGCAATTAATTCCAAGGTTAATTGATAAATAATTATTCACTGAGTACTTATTTTATGTTTGGCACTGTTCCTAGTGTAGGTCTTGAAGGGATTGGTTTTGATGAGCAGAGAGAGAAAATTAGCTGTTAATTTATTGCCTTTAGTGTGATTAATCTCTTCTAATTTAAGAAAATCTGGTTGCTTTGAAATATTACTATAGCCTTTCTTTTTACAGTAAGGCAACAGTGTCTAAAGAGGATGCTTTTTGGTTTGTGAAAAATAGGGATACACTCAGATTAGTGCAGTCCATGGCTAGAAGGAAGAGAGAATCTTACAGAAAGTTAAGAATGGGGGGACTGTGGTGTGGTATGGTCAGGCCCCTTTATGTCCAGAGTTGGATGGTAACTAGCTCTGGAGGAGACCTCTATGTAACGGAAGTTCTAGAACTCTACCAGTATGGAGGTGCTAGTCTGTGCTAGTCTTCACCTGCCTGCTCCTCTCTGGGACTATCTGTTTATTCTGTTACCAGCACATTTCTCCATCTCGAACTTCTCCCTGCCTTAGAGCTTTTATATCCTCCTAGTTCCTCTGATATTCTGTTGTCAGTGACTAGGTCTTGGTTGAAGACTCCCTTCCGCTACTAACTAAGTATGTGACCTTAGGCAAGTGACCTAAAAATTTTCAGCCTTGATTTCTTTTCTGTAAAATAAAAATGATACCTTGAAAAGCTGTGTAACTGCGATTGTGCTTATATAGCATTTAGCTCTATGGAAGGCACTCAATAAATGGTGTGTGTGTGTGTGTGTATGTGTGTGTTGTATACGCGGATGTATATATGTACATGTGCGTGTATCTGATGTCTGTGGTGTATATAGCTTGTCTAGTGTAGGCTCAGGTCTCACTTGGTATTGAATTTAGTCTAGAACTTTGATGTATTATAACCTTGATATTTTATTCATTTTAATATTTTAATCTTAAACTAACGGTTTCATGTATTTGCTGTAAGGGACAGGGAAAAGTTATCTTTGGTTGCACATGCTCGTGATTGCTAGGAAATGAGTGGTGAAGACTGTCATGTGATACACAGTCTTCAAGACTTTGGTCTTAAGTGATCACGAAGGAATGTGTCACCTCTCACCATTCATCTGTTTAGCAAACACTTGGTGAGAGTGCGACTATGTCCAGGCACTCTGCTAGATCCTTGGGGGTAAGAGCTCAAAGCCTGTTGGTATTCTGCTCTTTTCTGCACTAAACATGTAAGCAACTTGTAGTTGCTTTTGAAAATAAGTGATTTTTGGAGGGGAGAAGATCAGAAGCAGGAGGTGCGGGGGTTGATTTGGTTAGTAGTGAGCTTCTTCCCCACCGTCTCATTTCTGTGTTTTTGGAGCGTTTCTAAATAGAAACAAGGAGCTCTGTGAAGCCAGCACTTCTCAGTGGTCACTGGCCCTTGGCGAGCATCCGCAGTCCATTCTCTTCCTGCTCCTTGAAGGATATAGTCCTAGTTGTTTTGGGTTAGGAAATTAGAATGAACATACAGTCCTTTATTCTTCCTTACCTACTGAGTTGAATTTTGGCAGTGTTTTAGGGGAATGTGGTAATTTGGTGTCAGAACGGAGTACTGTACCAAGCACCGGGCCCTGTCAGGATCCCTGGATTCTGGGCCTTCTGCTGCTACTGAGTTATTTGTTATCATGTGCAGTTGCCTGATCTCTGGTCTTTTGTGTCCTTAAGGGTGGGGAGATGCCTGTTGATCCCACCTGCCTATTCTAGATCAATATAAAGTAAACTTTTGGTAAGAGAGGGCAATGGAGATGGTACAGGCAAATATTAGTTTTGTTCCTGAATAACTAATGAGATGCTCTGTGATTCTAGGGGAAAGAGGAGGATGTTTCTTCCCTGCCATTTTCCATTTCCTTTCCTGTCTTACACTTTTTTTTTTCTTTCCTAGATTTGCCTAGCTGTGGGAGCAAAAGACTAGTCATCGGTTCCTGTTAAGCAGTCGGTTAGCTAACAGTAGGCAGTGCTAACTCTGTAGGGCGCTCAGAAATGGTTAAAGATAGGAAGGTCTGAAAGTCTACAGGTGTGTCTTGATGGAGCGTATCATGAAATTGCACTATGAAGCGTAGGTGACAGGTGCCAGATGAAGTCCTCTGGGATTCGGGGAGGCTAAGTAGAAGGATGGGTACTGTCGTGCGCCATCCTGGGAGCACTTGTCGGCTCTAAGAGACAGGTGTTTTGGTGATAGGACAGTAAACCTGTTTCATTCCACTTGAGAGTTCCTTCCTTAGCATCATGGCTGTTGCCGTGGCAGCTCCACAATGTCCAGTGTTTTTGCGTTACCCCTGTAGAGCATTGCCCTTTAAATTTGGAAAGGATTAAGACCGTAGTTGGTGATGGTGTTCCATTTGCCATGGTACTTTGGTGTAGTCAGCCAGCCCTTGATAGCAGGTTTGGTTTGTTGGTGGTGGTGGTGGTGTGGTTTTGTTTTTTTCATGAGAAAACTAGGCAGATGAGTCAAGCAGTCCTGGGTTTGGGCTGCGAGCCAATCTGATAATTCTTTGATCAGGAAAATCCCTGACCCCGGTGGATGGTTGGTGCAGTTTGTGTTGTAACTCCAGTAAAACTAAGATCCAATAGGTAAAATTTATTAGTTTTAAGAAATTTTTTTATAAACTTAAATTTTTTATGAAAATGCATTCATAAAAGTTGTGTGGTCTCATGAGCTCATGCTGAATTATTTCTGCCCTTTTCTAGGTGCTGCGAAGTTGATGGTAGCTGTGGCAGTATTTTTACTGACATTTTATGTTATTTCTCAAGTATTTGAAATAAAAATGGATGCAAGTTTAGGAAATCTATTTGGTAAGTTCCATTTTTTCCGCCTTTCTTAAGTCTTACTTTTGATTGGTTGTCTATACATGTTTACCAGTTATCAGCTTTGAGTCACTCTGCTGTTTAGTCTGTCTAGAAAAGAAAATGTAATTATATCAATAAGTGTGACCCATTAGAATATTCTAGAATATACAATAGGAAGTCTTAAAATTAATTTGGGATAAAGCATGAATCTTATATTCAACGTTCTGAGTAGATTTAATGGGGTCTATTTCATTCATGTCTAGGACATTAATCATGGCATTCTAAATGAATATCCTGGAAGATAACACGCACTATTCAAGTCGGGTGCTAGAAAACTTGGAACCAAATCTAGCTGTCAGCTCGCAAGTGGAATCATGATAATGCATTTTAAATACCAGCCATAGAAATCCATCTTGCTTTCCTACCTTTATTTCCTCCTGCATCATTTTTCTCTCTTTACCAATTTATTTAATGCTATATTATAAACATACCATTGTAAGCTACTTTAACTCAGTTTTTAAATAAAATTCTTAAGTTAGAAAAAGAAATTAACTTTTGAAACGTTTGAATAAGCTTTGGTTGAAGCATTGTTTAAGGTATTAAAAAATTATGCATGAAAAGTGAGAATATGAAACCTAGAAACAGTATTTTGACCCATGAGTCAGAAATCTGTTGGAACAACTTTGAGATCTCTGGAATAGTGAGTTTTGCTTTCCATAAATTAGTATTTGGAAAGGATCCCAAAACCTCGTTCACTTCTTCTCACATCAAGTTTCAAGACTCCCATGAACCGGTAGTCCTCTAGCTTTAATATCAAAGGAATCTCCCTGGCTTTTTGGTATGCAGACTTGGATTCAGTGTCTGGGATGGGGCCTGAGAGTCTGTATTTCTAACAAGCTCCCAGGTGATGCTGAGGTTTCTACTCACACATAACATACTGAGTATCATAGCTTTAGACAATTCTGTTCTGTAATCATCAGTTTCTGTATAAACATTTTCAGGTGACTTTTCTTGAAATAACTACTTAAAAGTACTTTTTATATTGCACTGAATTCTGTCTTTTATACTCCCCAGTAGTATCAGTGCACTGACCTTCTGTCTCCTGGAGTGCTCTTCCATACTGACGAGCTCTCAAATAGTTAAACCGCAGTCATCCTCCTTCAGTCCATCTTTTTTTGTAAGTTTTCATCTCCAATTATGGAATTCCCCATTTTGAACCATTTCTCTCAGTGTACTGGCTATTTTCCTCCTGAACCATCTGTTTTTCAACACCCATTTAAAAAATGTATCCGGGGAGGGGGGGGGCGCCTGGGTGGCTCAGTTGGTTAAGCGTTTGACTCTTGATTTTGGCTCAGGTCATGATCTCAGGGTCGTGAGATCCAGCCCCCTGTCAGGCTCCACACTGGGCATGGTACCTGCTTAAGATTCTCTCTCTTCCTCTCCCTCTGTCTGCCGCCTAAAAAAAAAAAAAAATCTATCTCTCTATCTCTAGGATCCAGCATCGAGCAGTCATTACAAAGTACAGTGACATTTGACTTCTGCCTACTTCTGTTGCTCTGAAGAGGCCAATCTGGTGTCCTTTGAGGGCACAGCTGGTTCAGTTGAATAATGGGGCATAAAAACCCTGAAGGCATTGAGGACTTGTTCAGGGTCACTGTTGAAACAATGTGTATGGCCAGGTCACCTAAGAAAGATTGATGGTAAGGGAAGAAGATTATGGAGTGGTAGTTTGAGGCAGAAGCAAGTTGAATGTTTTTTTCTTTTTTGAAGTAATGTAGAGACTCACTTGTCTGTAGGCTTTGGGCAAAGATTCAGGGAATTACATGTCCATGGATGAGACTAAACAAACAAGAAACAGAGGGTCCTTGAAAGAAGGGAGGCAGTGAGGAATTTTAGAGGCAAAGTGGGAGGTTTGGGGAGTAGGGAAGGAAAAAAATGAAACAAGATGGGATCGGGAGGGAGACAAACCGTAAGAGACTCTTCCTCTCGCAAAACAAACTGAGGGTTACTGGGAGCAGGGCGGGGTAGGGAGAGGGTGGTTGGGTTATGGACATCGGGGAAGGTATGTGCTATGGTGAGTGCTGGGAAGTGTGTAGTAAGCCTGATGATTCACAGACCTGTGCCCCTGGGGCAAATAATACATTATATGTTAATAAAAAAATTAAAATTAAAAAAAGAAGGGAGACAATGGGACCATTGGTGCGTATTAAAAAAACTACTTTGAGAAAAGGCCCACTGTTTTCAGAGAAGAGTCTTGGGCAAAGCCCCAGCCAGCGCTTGCCCCAGTTTGGCTCTTCATCTCCAGTCCGGACCGTCTGGTGAAACATCACAGGGACCTTCCATGTCTGTGTCTCGTCCGTGGTATCTGCCTGTTTCATCGCTGCCAGAGCAGTTCTCTTAATAGTCATGAACCTTTAGTACTTCCGACGACTGGAGAGTAAAATCAGAGTCTCTGCTTAGGATGCGGCACCCTCAACCTGCCTCAGCCCTTCTCACCTGTTCTCTGCCCCTCCCCTCCTCACCCCGTGCCTCTCACTCCCTGCGCCACCGGTCAGCCCAGCATCCGTAGACACACACCCCGGCCTTGCTCCGGCCTGTTCCTCACGCTGCCCGTCTTTCTCAGCCCCCCTTCCTCCGTTAATCCTTCTCGTTTCTCAGAACTGCATAAATGCCCCTTCTGAGATAAATTAGATTTGAATCTCCCTCTTTTCCTATTAGAATGTGTAACTTCTTTTTTTGAACTGTTAGTTCATAATGCATAGTATTTATGTCTCAATTCGGCACTGATTTTATTCTGCCTTACGTAGAATAATGTCATTTATTTTCCATGTATCTGTTTACCCTTATTAGAGAATGACTCTTAAGGGCAGTAACACCTTGGTGCTTCACCCGGCTCTCGTGCTGGGCCGTGCACGTAGATGGTACACGCTGATTGAATGGAGAATGAATGTAGTTTTTTTGAGGATTTTTATTTGAGGATTAGGATTTTTACGTGGGGAGGAACAGTATTTCCAAAGTGGGATTCATTTAAAACTATAATAGTTGAAAAGCCACTGGTAGTCTGCTATGAACAGAGGCTGAGCTACTTTAACTAGGATAGTTGTCTCTTAATTTTCATTTTGATTTTTCCTAATTTTGGGAATCTGTAAGGTTTTATTGTGTGTTTTAGGTAGTGGATTTACACTTTCTTAGGGCAGATGGCTTATTTTGGTATCATAGCTGAAGTCATACACTGTATCCACAAAACCTTACTGGATTCCAATTTATTGAGTTGTTGAAAATTTAATTTGTTATATTTTAATTCTCATCATAGAATTAATTGAGCAAAGATGGAGATAGGGTTGTCTTTTTCATTTACTTGGCATCGAACTCAATTTACCAAAGGATGATTGATAAGTTTAACTCAACATTAGAATTGTTTCTATAATCAGTATACTGGTGGGTCTGATGAGGTGAACTATAATAGTTCTTTTGGTGGTGAATTTTTCCTTTTTTTTTCCCCCCCTGTGTGGATATAATAGCTTATTTGATAGTTTTATAAATTTAGATTCAGGTTGATTGTATAGTGCTGTTACAGAAAAAATGAACTTAATTCTAGAATGGAAGAATGAAAAGTGTTGCTCACAATTAGTTGAGATTACTAAAATACATTGTGATTTTTTTAAAAACAAGTTTTTCACACAACTTTTTGAGATACTTGTGGGTAGATGCACATGCATTCGTGAGAAGTAATACGTAGAGATCCTGCCTAGGATCTTACATAGTTTCTCATATTGGTGACATCTAGCAAACAAACGATCTATAATATCACAACCAGGATATCAATGTGGAAACAACATGTGAGTTTTAGTAATGATTGCATTTTAACAGTGTTAATTTTCAGCATAGATACTTAACAACTAGTGAATGTATTATACACATTCCAAATTATTTTTGTAATATATAACTAGAGTACTTACTGTTCTTTTGAAGTTCTATTGAGTTGATTTATCTTTACCCTTTCAGATTTAAACCATTGAAGTGGTATAAACATCAATTACTTGACATTATTAAAAACTAAAGTATGAAATCGTCCTGATTTCTGTAGCTTGACTTGTTGAACAGCATTCATTGATGAAACCCAAATCTGAAAAGAAAATTCTAAGTGAATTCATTTTCTCAGCTTATCCGATTAAGAGTAGATAATAATGATTAAGCCATTAACCTTTTTCTTGAAGAAAGTAAGTGTTCAGATTCTACTTGATATGTTACTTATTTCACATATATTGGAGACCTTTGTTTTTCAGTCATTTTAAATTATTTTTTAAGAATTGTTCAGTGATCATATAGGCCGTAGAAACAACCGGTAATTTGAAAATTAAATTCAGTTAACGTAAAAGATTCAGCAGTGAGCTTCTTTAGCTTTCCAAAGATATTTTATATCTAAACCATGTAAAAGTTCAGTTTATCTTGATGCAATTTAATCTTGAATTATTTATGATAAATTTTCCACATTAAAAATAAAGCGGTACCTGGCTGTTTATTTTCTTAAAATATAAAATTTTTAAACTTAAAAAAATGCAAAGCAAATAAAAAAATGTTTATTATTGTCCCTTAAAGTGAAAAGTTGTATATATTGAAAGAAATCAAGAATTAAAGCTGTCAAGGTAGTCGCAGGAATACAAGTTGCAGGGAAGGAGGGATTTTTGCTGACATGCTGTGCCTGTACTCTAATGTGGAGAACATCCTGTTTTATTTGTGAAAATTTACCTGTTTGGCTCTCAGGTGTTAAAATTCTCAGAATTTCAGGCTTAGTAGAGGGCTTTTGGTTTTGATAAAAGATAAAAATTAGTTTTCATCCGGTCTGGAAAGAAAAGTCTTTCCAAGAGTTGTTTGTTATTTAAAGATTTTATTTATTTATTTATTTATTTATTTATTTATTTATTTATTGCGAGAGAGAGAGAGAGAGAGAGAGAGAGCGCGCGCATGTGCGGTCGAGTGGCGGAGGTACAGAGGGAGAAGAGAGAGAATCTCAGGAGGACTCAAGCTGAGTGTGGAGCCCAGCGGGCCTCGATCTCAGGAGATTGTGGATGCCCTGAGCTGAAATCAAGATTTGGGTGCCTAACTGACTGAGCCATCCAGGTTCCCCTGTTTGTTTGGTTTTTTTTTAAACCTTTAGCATCTTTTCTCTTTACTCTTACACAAAGTAAATGGAGGAGAAGTTATGTATTTAAAAGCCTGATGATTAAGAAACTGGTTTTCCCTAAATCCTATCCCAGTAACATTTTTTGAATTGAATAGCATTTATCCCTCTCTTCTTTTTTTTTAATCTCAAATTTTACAAGCAAACTAGTTTGACCATGTTATAGGCTCATCCCTGACTTTTCTTCTACCTCCCTTTACTCAGCCACACTCTTCTCTGGGCATTAGTTGATTATTGATGTCTCTAAATTCTGTCGTCAGCCCCCTGACTTTAAATCCAGTGACTTCTCTGGGTGGCCTTATCCTTTGTCAACTTTCCTGTTTGTATCTTCATCCCAGATCTCATTTAGAGCTGGGTTTGAGACTTTCCCACTTGGATCTTCTCCAAGTATCTAAAATTGACAGGTCCAACACTGACCCATTCCCTACCCCTATCTCCTCACTAAGCTATGAGCATCTGAGTGCAGACATGGTGTTTTTATTCATTGGTTCATGTGAATGAATAAATGAAGACTTCTAAAGCCAATTGTCCAAGAGGTAAACTTGATTTCTCCCTTTCCATCATCCCTCCGTCTGGTCTGTTCACAAGCCCCGTCAGTGTTGCTTCCTTAGTTGTTCTGAACTGGTCTACTTGTTTCAAACCTACAGTCATTAACCTTTGTTCTAGCTGCTGCATGCTTTAGCAGCATCCTTGCCCTTGTGGACCCTTTGCCCTGGGAGTCTTGAATCATCTGCAGTCAGAAGGGTTGTTCTGAAAGCTCCCTGTTCTGACTTCCTGCTCTGAGCAGGACTAGCAGTTTTTATGCATGTGATCAGAGGACCTCGGACATTTCCCATTTTGTAATGCAGCATGAGTTTGGGTGCTAGAGTGAAATAGGACTTTGAAAATTATTTCTGGGGGTGGCTGGGTGGCTGAGTGGGTGAAAGCCTCTGCCTTCAGCTCAGGTCATGATCCCAGCGTCCTGGGATAGAGCCCCACATGGGGCTTTCTGACAAGCAGGGAGCCTGCTTCCCTTCCTCTCTCTCTGCCTGCCTCTCTGCTTACTTGTGATCTCTGTCTGTCAAATAAATAAATAAATAAAATCTTTAAAAAAAATGATCTCTGCCAGTTATTAATTATGACTTGAAACAAATCGAATCAGTAAACCTCTCAGTTCCCCGTTTCTTTCTCTTTGAAACAGGGATGATGATTGAATCAGTAATATAGGCAAAAATACTTGGTAATACCCAGCATATATGAATGAGCTCTGTTATATTACCTCTGTTCTAATCCCACTGTCTTTCTTGTATCTTGTTACCATAAGTTAAGCATACCAGAATTTCTGATTTGAACAGTGTTTTTCGGTAAATATCTTAACACCTGCATCTGATGATATGTGTTTGTTCAGGGCAAAGTGAAGTTGAGACTATCTAGTGTTTATGCTGCTAATCTCTCTTTGGGCTTTTATTTTCTTGTTTACAAAAGTGAGAGCGTTGGACCAGGTGATCTCTAGAATTGATGTTTCCCTTACTTTTATGACATAATTAAGGAAATTAAAAGAATGAGCCTAGTAGTCCCAGGACTCTAATTTACTAAGTAATTTTTTTTCTTCAAGTCTTTGTCCTTATCCATGAATACTTTTTGTACTTCTAGATAAGGCTTGTGTTTTTTTGCTTTATTTCATGCATTAGACTTTCTCCATGTTACTCCATTGCCTTTATGATTTCAGTGGTGCATAATATTCTGAGTGTTTTATAGAGTTAACGAGCCTTCATTTACTTGGTCATTTTCAACCCTTTTTAAATATTTACATCTTTAACTTTCTGTTCTCCAATTTGAGTTCTGGACTTACAGGAAGTTCTCAATTATCTAAAATAGTACAGAACTAAAAACCCAGGGGCTATTTATAGTCAAACAGCTGACAAATATTTGTGACACCACATACTCATTAGCAAAATCAGGAAGCGGCTGCCCACAGTACTATTGATGATCTGAACTGTTATCCCCTAGGCTGGGATCAGATGTTAGTGCTTTTAAAAAGCTCTAAATGTAGATGGCCATGTTGAGATCTACTGCATTGAAGTTAAGATTTAATCATAGGGTTCTGGCTTCCTTGAACTGATAAATTATAAAAGTCTTAGTAGTTGACCTTATTTTGTTTATTATACCTAACACATTTCTATTCTAGAGAAATTAAACTCACCACCACCATCCCTCTTGTGTTCCCTATCCCCCGAATCTCCTAGCCTAACCACTGAGATAAGTTCATGTATATGCTCCAGGACTTTATGTGCATGTGTACACAACACCATACTAGTTACTGAGTGTATATTTAAGGTCATTTAAAGGGAAGTTTGAAATAGTGTGTGATATCAGTTACATGTGAAATCTAAAAAGGACAAACTCAGAGAAACAGTAAAATGGTGGTTAGCAGGGGTTGGGAGGGAGGTAAGGGGGAGACTTCGCTCAAAGGGTTTAAACTCCCAGTTATAAGATTAATAAGTTTGGGATCTCTAATGTAGCATGGTGATTATAGCCGATATTACTGTATCATATATGTGAATGTTGATTAGAGAGTAGATCTTAAATGAAAGAAATGGTAACTGTGTGAAGGGAAGGAGGTGGTAGCTAATACTATACTGGTTATCATTTTGCAGTTCATAGATGTATCAGGTCAGCATATGGTATGCCTAAACTTACACAGTGTTCTATGTTGATTATGTCTCAAGAAAACTGGAAAAAATTGAAAAAGAAATTTAAAAAGAGATTAAGTTTGTAAGGTATCTTTCTGATTGGGATTAAAATTATAACTAGAAATAAAAATAAAATGTAAAGAAAGAATAAAATGTTCTATCAGTAATAAAATACTACCATCCGTAATTCCTCTGAATAATTGTTTGTAATGAGTTTTGTAGTTACTTTCAAATTTTTTCTTTAGAGGGATATATTCTGGGTTTTTTTTTTTATTGTATACCGAGCAAGAATTCATGCACTTTCATTTTTATGAGTCTGTTAGTTCCAAATATATTTAAAAAGTGAACACTTGACAGTAGCTTTATTCCTTCTAACAAAGAATACCTTTTCTTTTTTTCCTAGCAAGGTCAGCATTGGACACAGCTGCACGTTGTAAGTATTTCATTTAAATATTTTGCACATGGTTTATTCTGTTTTATCTTAGGCATATGAGGACTTGTATTCAAACAATGGAGAGATTTCAGCTTGAGCAAAATTGAGTTAAAACTTTTTAAGTTACAAGGATGCTGTTTCACTGGACCACTCAACATTCTTGGTATATAACAGTATTCATAATGGATGTTTTGTTTTATTTGTGTTTTTAGTTTGGTATATAAGTACAGAAAATGTGTGAAAGAAGAATTCCTTGTTAGAAGTAGAACATGAGCAGGTATTCAGTGATGTGTTAGGCTTTTTACTCATTCTAGAGTTAACCATGCGTTGTGAGTATATGGACTAGAAATGTCAAGCAGCAATTCAAAACCTCCCCCATACTGAATTTGTTTTAAAAGATGTACTTATTGGGGCGCCTGGGTGGCTCAGTAGGTTAAAGCCTCTGCCTTCGGCTCGGGTCATGGTCCCAGGGTTCTGGGATCGAGCCCCGCATCGGGCTCTCTGCTCAGCGGGGAGCCTGCTTCCTCCTCTCTCTCTGCCTGCCTCTCTGCCTACTTGTGATCTCTGTCTGTCAAATAAATAGATAAAATATTTAAAAAAATAAATAAATAAAAGATGTACTTATTTATATTAGAGGGAGAAAGAGAACAAGCACGAGCAGGAGGAGCAGAAGGAGAGAGAGAAAGAATCTTAAGCAGATTCCGGGCTGTGCGCAGAGCCCTATGCGGAGCTCAGCCTCAAGACCCTGAGATCATGACCTGAACTGAAACTGAAAGTCTGTTGCTTGACTGACTGTGCCACCCAGGTGCCCCTCCCTATCCTGAATTTTAAAAATAAACTTAAAAATAATTAGAAGGGAGATGGTTGGGGGATGGGCAAAAAAGGGTGAAAAGGAGTAGGAGAAATAAACTCCCAGTTTAAAAATTAACAAGCCAGAGGAATAAAAGCTGTAGTGTAAAGAATATAATCAGTTTTATTTTGTTAGTGTTGTATGATGACAGATGGTAGCTACACTTGTGAGCTTAGCATAATAACATAGAGGATTGTTGAATCACTGTGTTAGATCCCCGGAACTAATGTAACCTTGTTTACTAAATCAAATTTAAAACTTTTGAAAAATAAAAAAAATTAGAGAAAATACATTTATACGTAAGGATCAATTGCTTGTTTCATTTATGTCAATTATTAGCTTGTTTCCTGGGAAGTTCTGTTTTTTGTTTTGTGGTTTTTTTGAAACCCTCAGGGGAAAAGAAAGTCATGTATTTTAAGATATGTATTTGTTTTTACATAATACTCTTTGTGGTTTAAGATAGGAAACAAACTGATTAGAGTCTACTAATACATTTTTTAAAAAATTTCTCCCTAAAGCTACAAAACCTCCCAGATATAAATGTGGAATCTCAAAAGCTTGCCCTGAGAAGCATTTTGCTTTTAAAATGGCAAGCGGAGCAGCCAATGTGGTGGGACCCAAAATCTGTCTGGAAGACAATGTGTAAGTATTTATCAGTTGGGAAGTATATGGTGTGGTATTAAATTATAACAAATTGAACCTGAGTTTAATGGATCTTTTGAAAATGTATTGGGCGTATATAAAGAAAAGTGATTTCAGTTTTCATGATACAATTTTTTCTCCCTCAAGTTTAAAGAGCCTTAAAATTCTGAAATTTCATATTAGAGTGACATAAGAATGCAGCATTTATCCAGCTTCATGTGAAAACAAGGGATTTCCTCTGTGTGAATCCTCTCAATCTGTGCTGTCCCATCTGGTAGCCATAGACACGTGCAATGCTTTAATCCTGATTCTTAAGTAATCTGGGAAAAATTAATTCATTTAAGTGAATTAAAATTTAAAAAGTTAGTGCCTCAGTCACTCTAGCCACATTTCAGGTGTTCGGTAGCTACCCGTGGCTTGTGCCTGCCCAGCTGAATACACAGCATTTCCACTGTCGCAGGAAGTCCCATTTGACAGCACTGTGCTAGGTAATGAATGCGCTGTCTCACGATCCCTTTGTTTTAACTGTGTGTGAAATAACCCAGTACTGACCTCCCCCTGTTGCGACACACAGCTGTTTGCCACTAAGTGGAATGGTTTTCTGTACTGAGATGCTCTACCAAGTAAATGTTTAAGTTTTTAGTCTCCTGCCTTAGGGTTGACTGTCACTTGTATGCGAAGTTGGTGTCTGAAATCACAAGGCCTCCTTTTAGTGGGTTGCCTTGAATCTGCTCTTCCCTGGAAAATGAGGTGGATGGGCTGTGCCGAGCAGCGGGTGTGATGCAGAGCCATGGGGGTGGGTGAGATGAGGTTGAGGAATAAGGGCCAGGCCAGTGGGAACTTAAGGGCCGTGCAGGTAAGGAGATGGCATCTTTTTTTCTGAGTGTTTGAGTCCTTGAAGATTTTCAGATTCTGGCATGTCATGATTTCATTAATGTTGAAAAAATTATATTTATGTTGAAAAAATATAATAATTATTATGATGTATAAAATGATTTGAGAAGCAGAATAGAGAGAACAACTGGAAAACCTTTGCCAGTTGCTTCCAAAGCTCTTTGACTCTGCCCCTCTCCACAATGGTTACAGAGTTTTTTTCATGCACATTCACTAAATATATAAATAGATCTAAAAATATGTAAGTAGAAATTTTAATATTTTCCTGCACATGCCCTGAGTCATGCACACTCATTTTGGAGATGACCAGTCCAGATCAGTGCTTCTGAGTGGGGATGATTTTTCTCCCCGGGGGGCATTTATCAAGATCTGTAGGTGTTTTGAAAGGTTGTAGCTACAGTGGCACTACTTGTGAAGGCTGGCATGCTCTGACGTGTTCCCCCAGTGTGGCAGGACGGCCTTTCTACATGAGTTATTAGGTCCATAATGTCATCATAGGCTGAGTTTGAGATACCCCAATATAGACAAAAGATGATATTAAGATTCAGGGGTGGTTATGGTTTTAAGGACAGATTAGGTGCATCAGATATATTTTGGAGATTAACATGGATTTCAAACTTCTCATTAGTTTGGAATAGAAAATCCTGTGTATAAACATCAAGTGTCACCAAATACAGAAATTGTAGCTTCTTTTTATTTTGCTTTAGAGAACCCATTATACAGCTTTTATTTTAGGCATGTACTCATTTGATTTCAATTTACATGAAGTTGATATTATGGTAATACCTCACCTTTTATTATAATCTTAATGTTTGGTATAGGAATATATAGCAAACTATTTTGATGGATTTGTTCATTTGCTTTACCTTGAGGATATTTTTGACTATAAGGATCAAGAGGTAAAATCAAGGAGAGGGTATAAGTACTTATATAACCATTTAAAGTATAACCATTTAAAAATACAAAAACCATTCTAAGCTCATAAATAATAAAACCAAAAAAACAGGCAGTTGGCTAGATTTGTCCCAGGGGCTTTAGTTTGTTAAACCCTGCTCTAAACTAATCATTTTAAGATGTGGTAGTTAAAACATAAACTAGGCCTTTGAAACAAAACTATGTTCAAAGATGTGGAATCTGTCTATAGATTATATAGTATTTTCTTTAGATTTTTGTCTGGAGGTGTGGAATGGTGGTGGGGGAACCTTCATGAAAGATAAAAGAAAACATTTCCACTTGTGTTAATAAGACTGGTTTATATATTTATAAACTTACATATTTAAAAATCTTCAGTAGTTTGTCATTTGCTAGTTACAGGTTTTCCCTGACTTCAGGTTTTAAAACTTGATTGGCTGCTGCCCTCTTGTGGGAAGCCTGTGCCGTACTCCTCCTTTGTTGCCTGTGTTTCTCTGCTTTGAGAGACGCAGCAGCATGCTCCATGATGGGGAAGACACTGGGAAATTGTAGTTATTACCTATTAAGACACCGGGGTACATAATTATTAATGTAACAGGTTAATCATAGCTGTTGCTTCTTAACATTAATGATGGAGTTCGGGAATATATTTCTCACAGGAGCAGAGCAAATGCATTTTGAAACTCCCCTCTTTTGGGCAGCACATTTAGGTGGTTTCCTTTCCACATTTAGTTGGCTTACCTTTCAGAACTACTCTTGAATACACAAGGAAAAAAGTCTATGCTTAATTACATGTAAATTTTAGAGAATGAAAAGTGAGATTTTGGAAGGCAGATATGCAATTCATATGGTTAAATAGTTAAGTGCTACTAAGCTTTTCAAAATCAAATTTTTATGCTTCTTTTTAAATGGAACTTCAAGTAGAGTTATTTTTTTTTAACTCTGTATTTTGAAATAATTATAGAAATCACAGGCAATTGCAAAGATCGTATGGAGTAGTCCTGTGTATTCTGTACCAGTTTCCCCATGATTGTATCTTAACTAGAGGTAAGTATCAAAGCCAGGAAAATGGCATTGGTACAGTGTGTATCATTTTATCACATGTGTAGATATAGGTAGCCAATACAGCAATTAAGATGCAGAATTAGCCTATTGCCACAAAGATCTCTTTTATACTACCCTGATATCATCACCCCCCAGAATCACTGACCCCTGGCAACTACTCATCTGTTGATCATTTCTGTCATTTTGATGCTTTGAAACGTTATAGAAATAGTATCATAAAATATGTGACCGTATGAGATTGGCTTTTTTCTGTTTGTTTTTATCTATTTTTTTTTTTAATTACTGCAATTTGAGGGTTCTTGTGATACATTCTAGATATGAATCCTGTTGTCAGATACGTGGTTTGTGGCTGTTTCCTCCTAACCTATAGCTTGTCTAGATGTCATTTTCACTGGGATCTTTCGTAATGCCAAAGTTTGCAGTTTTGATTAGTTCCAATTTATTTATTTTTCTTTCATGGATGTGCTTTGTTGTTTGTTCATGGATTGGTGTCAGGTCTAAAAATCATTCATGGAGCCATAGGTTTCAAAGAGGTTCTTCTGCATGATTTTCTAAAATTTTTATAGTTTTATGTTTTACATTTAAATCTATGATCCATTCTACACTAATTTTGAAAAAAGAATGAGATGTAGGTTGAGGTTCAGTTTTGGCCTATGAATATCTAGCTGCTTAAGCACCATTTGTTGGAGTGACTATCCTCCCTCCATTGAATTGGTTTTGCTCCTATGTTAGAAAATAAGTTGGCTAAATTTCGACTGATGCATTTTTTGGTTCCACTTGGCTTTGGGTTCTCTATTCATTCCATTGATCTGTATATTTATCTGTCCACTAATACCACATGCTCTTGATTATACTAGTTATGGAGTAAGTCTTTACATCAGGTAGAATAATTCCTCCCATTCCCCCCGCACCCCCACCAAATTAGGTACTTTAGTTTCTTTGCCTTTCCATTTACATTTTAGATAGCCTTGCCTCTATGCACAGAAAATCCTCCTGGGATTTTTTTTTAGGAACTGTGTGAAATCTGTATATTAATTTGGAGAGAATTGACCATCTTTACTATTCAGTTGATGAATATGGCATTTCTCTTTATATATTCTTCATTATCTTCCATTACCGTTTTTGTGGGTTTCAGCTTACAAGTCCTATACAAGCTTTATTAGTTTTATACCTAAGTATCCCCCATTTTTTGAGCAATTGTAGGTGGCATTGTATTTTTAATTCATATATTGTTAGCATGTAGACACACAATTGATTTTTGTGTGTCGGACTTGTACCTTGCTAAGTTAATTTATTACTGCTAGGAGTTTTGTTTTTGTTTTTGTAAATTCCTTGGGATTATCCATACAGACAAACATGTCATCTGCAAATAAAGACAACCTTATTTTTCCTTTCTGATTTGTATGCCTTTATTTTCTTCTCTTGCCTTATTGCATTGGCTAGGATTTCCAATGCTGTGTTGAACAGTAATGGTGAGAATGGACATTCTTGACTTTTTGCTGATCTTAGGGGAAAAAGTATTGTTCTTCACCATCCAGTATGATGTTAGGTATAGATTTTTGTAGATGTTCTTTATCAAGTTGAGGAAGTTCTCTGTTACTAGTTTTCTGGGATTTTTTTATCATGAATGGGTGTTGAATTTTGTCAAAATGCATGTTCTGTATTAAGGTGATTGTGTGATTTGTCTTTAATCTGTTAATATAGTAGGTTATATTAACTATTCAAATGTTAAAACACCTGTGTATCCATAGGCTAAACCTCACTTGGTCATGGTTTATGATTTTTTTAATATAATGCTGAATTCTATTTACTTGTTAAGGAGGATTTTTGCCTATATACTAATGAGGCATATTGGTTTGTAGTTTTCTCATGATGTCTTACTCTAGTTCTAGTATTGTAATACTGGCTTTATAGAATAAATTTGGAGGTATGCTGCTTTCTGAAAGTTTTTGTAGAGGTAGTGTTAATTCTTTCTTAAAAGTTTTTGGTAGAAGTCTCCAGTAAAACTGTTCAGGCTTGGAGATTTTCCAGAGAGGTGAGTTGATAAACTATGAATTCAATGTCTTTAATAGTTATAGGACTATGTAAATGATCTGTTTCATGATAGATGAATTGTGTTAGTTTGTACTTCTTGAGGAATTGGTCTAATTAATCTGAGTTGTCAAATTTACATGGGTAAATCCTTCATAGTATTCCTTAATCCTTTTGATGTCTGCAGGGTCTATAATGCTATCCCATTTCACTTTTGATATTGGTGATTTGTGTCTTCTCTTTTTTTCTGTCAGTCTTACTAAAGGACTGTTAATTTTATTGACCTTTCTAAAGAATAAGCTTTGTTTCATTGACTTTTGCTGTTTTCTTTCCTTCGCTTACTTTAGTTATATGGCATTCCTTTTAGTTAAATACTTAGTGTTATATATTCCTCTCTGTACTCTTTTAGCTATGCCTCACAAATGTTAATAAGTTGTATTTTCATTCTTTTCGATGTATTTTTTGATTTCCCATCAGACTTCCTCTTTGACCCATGGATTATTGAGAAGTATGTTGTTTAGCTTCCAAGTGTTTGGAAATTTTCCTGTTACCTTTCTGTTACTGATTCCATTGTGGTTGAAGAATACACTTGGTGTGATTTCAGTTTCTTTAAAAAATATTGAGGGGGCGCCTGGGTGGTTCAGTGGGTTAAAGCCTCTGCCTTTGGCTGAGGTCATGATCCCAGGGTCCTGGGATCGACCCCCACATTGGACTCTCTGCTCAGCAGGGAGCCTGCTTCCACCTCTCTCTCTCTTCCTGCCTCTCTGCCTACTGATCTTTTCCTGTCAAATAAATAAAATCTTTAAAAAAAAATGTTGAGGTTTATTTTGTGACTCATGATATGGTCTACCTTTAGTATATGCTCCATGGACACTTGAAAAGAATATGTATTCTTTTCTTGTTGGGTAGAATGTTCTTTAAATGTCAATTAGACCCTGTTGTTTAATACTGTTGTTGAGTTCTTCCATACTTTTGGTAATTTTCTGTTGATCACTTGTTGAGAGAGCACTGTTGATGTAACCAGCTGTGACTGTAAATTTTCTGTTTCTCCTGTCCATTCTATCTGGTTTTGAGTCACCCAGTTTGTACCTCAGTTGCCTGATATATACACATGCAGGTTTACTCTGTCTTGCTGAAGTGACCTTTTGATGATTATGTAATCTCCCTCTCTGTCTGGTAATTTTCTTTGCTCTGGGGTCTGTTTAATTGGTGTTAATAGAGCCGCTCCTGCTTTCTTTTGTTTAAGCAGCTTTATTGAGATATAATTCCCATGCCATACAATTCGTCATGTAAAGTATACAGTCGTGTTTTTAGTATATCCACAGATATGTGCAACCAACTCTACAGTCAGTCTTAGAACATTTTTATACCTCAAAAAAAAAATTATGTCCTTTAGTTGTCTTGCCCTTCTACCCCATTCCCATCTCATTCCACTCCCATCTCGTTCCACTCCCTTCTCCCCTGCCCCCCAACCAGCCCAAAGTAACCATATTTTACTTTCTGTCTCTGTAGAGTTACTTACCTGTTTTGGACATACTATATAGAAGGTATTATATCATATGTAGAGCTTCCTTTGTCATCAGCCTCTTCACTTAGCACAGTGTTTTCAAGGTTCATCCATGTAGCATTATCAGTACTTCATTCCTTTTTATGACGGAATAACCCTCCATCATGTATAGATCTATCACATTTTGTGTATTCGTTCGTCAGTTGATGGACATTTGGTTTGTTTCCACTTTTTGGCTATTATGAATAATGTTTCTATAAACATTTGTATAAAAGTTTTGTATGGTCATGTTTTCATTTTTCTTGTATACATACTTAGGACTGGATTTGGGTTCATATAGTAATTCTATGTTTAACTATCTGAGGAGCTGCCAGATTATTTTCTGAAGTGGCTGCCCCAGTTTACCTTCCAACAGCAGTGTAAGAGGGTTCCAGTTTTTCCATGTAACACTGCTTATTATCTGACTTACTGATTACAGCCATCCTGGTGGGTGTTGAGTGGTATCTTGTTGTGATTTCATTTTGCATTTCACTGATGATTAATGATTTTTAACATCTGTTTATTTGCTTTTTGGGCATTTGTGTATCCTCTTCAGGGAAATGTCTATTCAAACCTTGCTTATTTTTTTTAAATTGGATTCTTTATTATTGAGTAGTAATCCTTTGTTCTTCTGATTAGTGTTTACATGATTTTTCTTTTTCTACTCTTTCACATCATATCTACTGTGTCATTATATTTAAAGTAAGTTTCTTGACCTGAAACCATAAAACTAATCTAGGGAAAAAAGCTTTATGACATTGGTCTGGGCAATGAATTTTTTGAGTAAGACACCAAAAACCTAGGCAACAAAAGCAGAAGTAGACAAATGAGATTACATCAAACTAGAAAGCTTTTGCACAGAAAAGGAAACAATCAAGAGAATGGAAAGTCAACCCATTGAATGGGAAAAAAATTTTTTAACCATATATCTGATAGATTAACATCCAAAATATGTGAGGAACTCCTACCACTCACTAGCAAAAAACCAAATAACCTGATTAAAAAATGAGTAAAAGGCCTGAATAGACATTTCTCAAAAGAGGAATACAAATGGCCAACAGGTATATGAAGTGGTGTCTTACTCTTTAAATGAAATGTCATTCAGTGTTTGTTAGAACAGCATTCACCATCACTTGAAACCATACATTTGCTGCAGATCTAAGTTCTATGAAAATCAACATACTCTGTGAGAATCAGTTGGCTCTGTGGAATGTATAATGAAATATTAAAGCTTATATTATTTGTGAAATTGTGTGTTACAAAATCCTTTATATCAGTAAAGTTTATAATAAACTTAGGCACCTACCTGTATGTGTGTAGGTATGGATGTCCCATATATGGACATGGGTGTGTCTGTGTGTGTATTCCCATATATGCGTCCTTCCCTGTCTCCATCAACCTCAAACCAGTAGTTAATCATTGAATAGTACATCACTGGCAGTATTACTATTACCTTGAATGTTTAGAATTGCAGATACCTACAATTTTAGTTTACTAATCCTAATTCAGCACACTGAACCAATACAAGCAAATGTTCCACTCAACTCTTCTATTTCATAGAATCATGGTGGTCTGTAAGCTGTGACTGGGTGTTAATTACCTCAGATGTAACAATACAAGTGTCTGTGGTTAGATGCAGTAATTAAATGAATAGAAGATTCATCTGGGTACAGAGAAAATTTTACATTGATAATCACTAAGAATGTTCACAATTAGATGAAACTCTCCTTGCTTTCAGGTTATAAAAACATCTCACTTCTGTTTCATGTCACATGGATTTTGCAAAAAATAGATAAGAGATTATCAGTTGTTTGATCACCCTTTGAGAATGGTGCAAAATATGTGCACCATTGTTTTAAGGATTTTCTAAGATCCTATTTCATAACCTGACACCAAGTGGCAAAAAATGGTCTGGTACTTGGGTCCTGATACTTTTTAATATATTGATTTGTGAAATCTTAAGAACATTGCTTTAAAATTGTTTAATATTAGACTGTCTTCTCTGATGTAGTAGAGATCTTTTAATCTCCATTGCATTTCTTAAACAATTGTGTGTATATATAATATCCCCAACTTTTTTTTTTTTTTTTTCAGGCATGGCTTTATTTCTCTGATACATGTTTATGTAAAGTATCTAATTCTAAATTTTGTCTTGACTTTTCTCCTTCAGTTTAATGAGCGGTGTTAAGAATAATGTTGGAAGAGGGATCAATGTTGCCCTGGTAAATGGTAAGAATAATTGTACCTTACAGATATGATCAGTGGATATTCATGTGGCCCAAACTAAAATGCCCTCTATTATCAAAGGATCAAGTCAGAAAGTGCTACACTTCACACTAACGCCTTCTTCCCAACTTCCTCACATCCTCCTAAAAAAACCAACTATACATGGGGACCTGGTGTCTGAGTGTGCTTTCGTGGAAGCATCCCACTCGCTGTGCGGTGTGTGGAGAGTTTCCCGGGGGACTGTCAGGCTAAAACCCATCTAACATTAAATTGATGAATTCTGAAGATGTTGGATTCTAACACCGTGAAGACAGAGTGGCACAAGGGTGTGTAAATGACACAGGGGCTGGACTGATGGAAGGGGCGGGGAGAGGGATGAAGAATAAGAATTCATTGTAACTTTTCAGTATTGTCCACATTTGTCACTTATGTTCATTAGTGGAAATAAGTTCTTTGATTTCTGAAGGTCTCAAGTGTTCTTACAAAATCAAATCTGAAAATATGAACCCATGAGATAAGGCCTGACTGCATGCTTGTCTTTTTCTTCTGGTACAATAATCCTGTAAGGCTGTGTAGGGCGATTGGCAACCACAGCCACCTTGCCCAGTTCTCAGTCTAGGAAAATATTTTTTATTTCTTTCACGACAAAAGATAAGTTTCTGCATTTTTGCTTTCCTTATTTTCTTATATAGAAGGTTCTGTGTATATTTGTCTAATTGATAGCAAAAAAATACATTTTAAAAGGGAAATCTGAAAAAATTTTAAATGTTGGCTTTAATGGTAGAAAATGTCATCAAATCATCTTGTTTTAAAAGGTTTACATATTTTTTGGTAATTCCTAAATAAGGGAAGACGGTAACACGTAAGGACGAAACCTATCTAACTGAATTTAAGTGGTCTGCACTCAGCTATGAACTTGAGTTTGCTGCTCCTTGGCTTTATATAGATTCATGAGAAAGTCCAGAATTTTAGTTTATCCAGAAGTTAGTCTTAGAAATATATTTCAGGTGCATACAGTTCAGATTTTAAGTCTTTCTCAAAATAATTCTTTCTCTGCTAAGGAATCCACACCTATCACTGGATAAGATCACTTGTGGTATACAGTGTGTATTTCAGTTGCATAATCTGACATGAGTTCCATCTCTTTCAGGAAAAACAGGAGAATTATTAGACACCAAATATTTTGACATGTGGGGAGGAGGTAAGTATGATAACACATAACTGTTCTGTTGCTAGCACTGACTGACTTCTTAAGCCTCCTCTATTTAATATAGCCCATTAATGAGAGATTGATGGTGTGTTTGTGTTAGTTCATTTTCTCTTACTTTTCATTAAATATCCAGCTGTATTTAAGTATAGGTCATATTGCATATACTTTGCTTTTTTATAGAAATTGTGTGTGTGATTAAGAGCAATACTAACAAAATTGAGATTGTAAAAGTCCAAGTCCTATTTTCTACAGGACAACTAATTGAAAGCCTTGGATCCTTTAAGTCTCTGACTAAAATTTTTTAAAAAGAATAAGTAATTTGGGGAAGGGCACAAGCCATTTAAGCATTTTTAACTGAATTCGGGTTTTTTTTTTTTAGGATTTTATTTATTTATCTAATACAGAAAGAGAGACCACAAGTAGGCAGAGCAGCAGGCAGAGAGAGAGGGAGAAGCAGGCTCCCCGCTGAGCAGAGAGCCCAAGGCGGGGCTCAATCCCAGGACCCTGAGATCATGACCTGAGCCGAAGACAGAGGTTTAAACCACTAAGCCACCCAGGAGCCCCGGGTTTTTTTGTTTTTTGTTTTGCATATGATTTGTTAGCCTCAAAAGTAAATTATAATTAGGATTGTTATTAAAGTAGATGAATATTTGAGAGAAGGCATTTTCTTTTTAGTTCATTGCACTTAGAGCGGTTCACAGGTATCTTCCTTATGTGGAAGTTCCTGTAGGAACAGGTGTAAGTCAGTTACCCACATGCAGAAGCAAGGACCTAGCATCCTGAACAGGAGTTTGCCGAGAAGAAATTTCTTCCTCAAAACTGACGTAAGGCCAACACTGATTTGATCTTTTGATTCTTTTCTAAGTTGTTGGTTCAGGATGTTTCTCAGCACGAAGCTGAGCTCTGCACCTCCCTGTTTCCAGCCCCTTTATGCATTCCTTAGGAGCCAGTAACCAGTAGTCTTCTTGAAATTTATGTTAAGTTTTCAGACCATTCAGCTTTTCTAATACTTCTTCAGCTTGTAATAGATGCCGTGTTTTATTTTTTAAATGAGATTAGGAAGACTTTTCATAGCTGTCAAAAGCTGTTAGAAACTTTAGATGCTGCCATCAATTTTAGATTCTAATGGCGTAATTGGCCCTACCAACACTTACTAGGAAACACTGGAAACCTGGAGACAGTCTTGCACAAACTTTTGTTGAAATGACCAGAAGCTCTGTTGCTTCATCACGGATAGATTAATTATGCCAAAAAGTCTCTTCAAGTGAAGAGATAGCTGCAGTTGACTTCCATCTTTGCATTTAAAAGGAAGTGATTTGTTAGCTGCTTTGTTACATTTTCTCAGAATTGAAAATGCTGTTATTTCAAAATAGAATTCAGTTAGAGAATATCTTTGGAATTTTTGCTGTGGAAAGAAACTGAGTAAATTTGAAACTTGAAGCGACCCAGTTCTGAAGCAGTGTTAGACTTGGGGATGACATGGAGATCTGACATTGGAGAGTTCAAGACATAAAACAGTTGGTACTATGTGATCTCCCCCTGGTATCACCAGTGTGACACCAGTGTGTCACCCAAGTGGTTTATTTTTATGTTTTTGTGTATCTTGGTGCACTAGACAAAGCAGATAATGAACATAGTATTTGCCATAATTAGATATAACCTTCATTCCTTCCCCTAGTTTACAGTAATTAGATATGCCCAGAGGATCCCTTAAATCAAAGTGCATGTATGTATGCATGTGTGTTTGTGTGTGTGTATATATTTATATAATTTTTCAGAAATTGCAGAACCTTTTATGAATTAGATAAAAGCTATGTATCCTACACTTAGATAAGTACCCATACAAACAATTTCACATACTCTCTGAGAATCCGTGAGCTTTTCTTCTACCCTCCTCCCTCATCCCCCATCAAGTTTCTTTTTTCAAATTTTAAGTCATGCTTTAATACAACTTTGCTGTGGTTTTTTTTCATTTAGCCCCTGGAATATCAGTACAAAAGACACATAGGATCAATCCGGGTTGGGAAATTCTAAGTTGGTGGTGGGATCGATCCTATTAAAGGACAAAGTTCAGTTTTTAACCTGTTCATAAGATTTATCTCCCTTCTGGTTACTCTCCATTTGAAATTATTGATTTGCAAATGCTTTATATTTTAGTTAATATTAACTTTTAAGAGGTTATCATGATGGCTAGTCACTAAAAAAAAAAAAAAACAAAACAAAACCAAAAACTCAAAGCCATCAGTCCTTTCTTTTTTTTTTCAGATGTGGCCCCATTTATTGAGTTTCTGAAGTCCATACAAGATGGAACAATAGTCTTAATGGGAACGTACGATGATGGAGCAACCAAGTATGTAAACTCAAACATTTATATTATTTTTGGAACTATAATTAATTATAAAAGCAATACATTTTCAATGAAAAAAATTATAAAATAGAGCAAAGTAATCAAATTCCAGATAAACACTGTTAACCTTTTTTATCTGCTTCCTTCTTTCTGTATGTTTGTCAGACATACATTGCCGTAACATTAGATCCACATACCTCAAGTTTGTTACACTCTTTTCTGTTTTTAACAACCTTGAATTGTTTTCTCTAACGTTAATATTCTTCTAGTAGCATTTTTCATCACCTACCAACAGTTGATCATATGTTCCCACCTTTATCTAAAATTTCCCTATTATTGCCACATTTTTTTGTATTACAAATAACATTTTGATAAACACCCTTTTCCATAAGTACTTTTGTACTTTCGATTATGTCCTTAGGGTAAGTTCCTACAAGTGGAGTTCACTGTGAAAGAATAAGTATGATATAAGTATGATAAGTTTTTCATAATGTTTAGTAAATATGAATTTATAACTTTTTTCTTAAAAGTGTATATGTTGTAAAATTTGGAAAATACAGAAAAGTGCAAAGAAAAACAAGTTATAAATTCATCTATTCAGTGATAACCACTGATAATTTAGTTTCCATCTCTGGTTTTCTTAATATACATATTTTCTTCATCTTAAATATTTGGAATGCTAGTAGTTATAGCATTATTTATGTGGTGAATATTTTCCCATAACATTAAATAGTTTTGATAACAAAATTGTTCATGTCTACCTCATATAACTCTTAAGCATACGTCATGATTTAAAATTTATTTAATAAAATTCCTACTGCTAGACCCTCAGGCTATTTCCAAATTTTCATACTTAGCAAAAATGTACTATCTTAAAAATTTTGAATAATCATCTTTATTTCCTTAAGACAGGTTTTTTTGAGATAAGGTGTTGAATTAAAGGATGTATATGTTTCTAAAAATGAATTTTTAAAGTTTGTATCAACTTAACATGTCTCAGAAGTTCCAGGACACTGATTATTTTTAAGAAGTTTTGGAAAGGGGTTTTGTTAATGTGCCTTTCTTTGGTTATTGATGAGATTGCATTTTTTTTTTCACAAGTGTTTTTGGCTCTTTTTCTTGTAAAGTATCTTTTGACCATTTAGGTTGACTCCTATGGATGTGTAAGAGCCTTTGGTATGTTAAGGATATTAACCATTTCTCATGTGAAAATACTTTTTTTGTGTGTTTATTTTTGTTAATTTATAGTGCTTTGTGACTTTTACGAGTTTAGACTAATTCTTAGTCAAGTATATGGATTTTTCGTTTCAAATTTCTTCTACTTTTATACTTGAGAAGTATTTTCCCATCTCCAAATTAAATACTTAGTAGATTTTCTTCTTCCAGTGACTTCACTATTTTCATGTATTTTAAAAAAATGTATTATTTCCCAGTGACTTACAGTTTCCATTTTTATGTGGATTTGACTTTGTTTTTAGAAGTTCTGTTCTGTTCATCTACTTCTTCCTGCCCCAATAAGACAGGGGCAAATTATAAAATTTTATAATTTTATAAAAATTAAGTGTACTACCTTTCTAGGGTAGCTAAGACCCCTTTAATAGCATTTCTCAAATCCCTTCTATGATATTTTATCCAGATGAAAAGTATGATACTTTTAACAAGAATAAAAGACATCCTTTACAGATTTTAAGTGAAAAGGCTTGAAATTCCACCTCAGAATATGGCATGTCTTTCTGTTTATTGAGTTTTTTCTACACGTATGTAGTGTGTAACTACATTATTGCAGATTTGCACTAAGAAAACAGGGCTACTGGGTGCGTGGGTGGCTTAGTCAGTTGAGTGTCCTCCTTTGGCTCAGGTCATGATCGGAGTATCCTGGGTTCAAGTCCTGCATTGGGCTCCTTGCACAGTGGGGCATCTCCTTCTCCCTCTCTGCCCCTCTCTCTGCTCATGCGCTCGCTCTCTCTCTCTCTCTCTCTCTCAAAAATAAATAAATAAATTCTTAAAAAAAAAAAAAGAAAACAAAACAGGGTTACTTTGTGACTGGTTTTCTTTTTTGTTGGTGGTAGTTTTTATTTTTGTTTTTGTTTTCAGATTTTATTTATTTATTTGACAGAGAGAGATCACAAGCAGGCAGAGAGGCAGGTGGTGGTGATGGGGGGGGAACAGGCTCCCTGCTGAGCAGAGAGCCCAATATGGGGCTCGATCCCAGGACCCCAAGATCATGACCTGAGCTGAAGGCGGAGGCTTAACCCACTGAGTCACCTAGGTACCCTTACTTTGTGATTGTTTTAAGGCTGGAATATTTTCTTTGACATGTCTTACATCTGGATCAACTAAGGATATGTTAAATCCATAAATCAAGAAAACTGGTACCTGCATCCATTGCCATTTAGCTACACAGAACTAAGTGGAATGTAATTAGTCTTCTCCTTAGCAAAAAAAAAAAAAAATAACTTGATGTTTGCTTTTGCTGATAGAATAGGATATTACATGTATAATTTGAGGTTTTAAGATTTTTAGAAACCCTACTTTTCTGAATAGATAGACACCCATGGCGTCTTTTTCATCATGTTATTTCATTATTATACTTGCTTGGCTTCAGACCTGTTTCTCTTTGCTAATAAGAAAGTGTGGCCATACCTAAGAACTAAGGCAGGATGATGTTTGTTCTTTAACTGCTATTTATTGGTGCCCATCCCAGATACCAAAAGCAGCCTCAGAAGATGTTCAGCCTGAAAGGCAAAAACAGAAATCTAAACTCGATGTGTTTATCCTTGTGTATATATCCGTGTGTGATTCAGCTGTGCGGTTAAATGCATTCAGTCATGTGCATTTCCAGTTTGGGGCACATGAAGTTGTTTTTCAAATACTTCCTTCTTCCAAACACAGGTGAAATAAATTGTATCGTGTCCTTTATGCCAAAATGGACAAGCAGTCTTTATAAATGGCCATCTACATCGTGAAATACAACAAAATATAAATGTACCCCTTGGCAGTTATCTGACTGTGAAACATTTGAAATGATTCCTTCGTTGTGGAACACCCAGTCTTACATGCGAATAGAAGCTCTGCTTCATCTGATGTGTTAGCACTTTTCTTTACATAAGGCTGCTGGATTTTCCCCTCATAAGGAATGTTTGTTCTCCCTCTTATACCCAAAAGATTCCATTTTTTTTTTAAAGATTTTATTTATCCGTGAGAGAGAGAGAGTGCACACATGTGCATGCAAGAACGAGCACGAGCAGGGGGAGGGCCAGAGGAAGGAGAAGCAGGTTCCCCAGCCAGCAGGGAGCCCGACGAGGGGCTCCATCCCAGGACCCTAGGATCAGGGCCTGAGCCAAAGGGCAGGCATGTAACCACTTGAGCCACCCAGGTGCCTGTACCCAGAAGAGTTTAGAATATGAAATAGGCATCTCCGGCAGGGAGTTGGTATTGGTTCTCCATAGTCATTCCTCTGTGATCCCAGGTACTACGGTCTGCAATGAGCTCCTTGGCTGGACTGTGAACCTTTTTTTTTTTTTTTTTTTTTAAGATTTTATTTGTTTGACAGCACAAGCATGGAGAGCTGCAGGCAGAGGGAGAGGGAGAAGCAGACCTCCTGCTGAGCAGGGAGCCTGAAGCAGGCTCGATCACCCCAGGATCGTGACCCAAGCTAAAGGCAGATAATTAACCAACTGAGCCACCCAGGTGCCCCTGTACAGGAAACTTCTGAGAATGTCTGGGATTGGTCTCTGTCACAGCATTTCCCAAAGTGTGTTCCGGTGGGATCCCAGTCCTCTGAACCTATCCTAGGGGAATAAGTTTGGAGATGGCATGATGCTTTTTGCCCCTTCCAGGGATTTACAATGCAAGGCCCTGAAGTTTGGCCCTAAGGAAACCTCTTTACCTTTCTTTATCCCATTAGTTCTTGATTTTAACAATGAAGACCATTTTATTTTATTTTATTTTAAGATTTATTTATTTATTTATTTGAGAAACTGAGAGTGTGCAGGGGAAGGGAAGGAAGGAGAAAGAGAGAAACTGACTCCCCACCGAGCGCAGAGCCCTACTCGAGGTTAGGATCTCAGGACCCTGTTAAGCCCAAATCAAGAGTTGGATGCTTAATTGACTGCCCGCCCAGGTAGTCTTGGAAGCCCATTTAAAAAATAAAACAGGAAAAAAAAAACTATACTTAAGAAAACTTATATTTTAGAGAGTACAGGTCTCTAATGATGCCTACTTTCTGCCTAGACCCCTCTAAAATAAGTTGGTTTTTGTTTATTTAATGAGGAATTATAATAGTTTGAATGAGCAAGCTAAATTTTGCTATTGTATTCCTCCCTTTGGAGACAGCACTCTGTGACATGTGCACTTCCTGGCTAAGTGAAGGGTTTAAGTGTGGGTGTCCTGAAGTAAAAAATCTTGAAAGTCCTTGGCCCCGGCCCCCCAGCCCAGGCAGAATTCCCTGGAACTGTTCTACAGATACCCGCTCTGAAGGGCGCCAGTATCTCTATATCTCTATTCTCTATTTGAAACAAAACAAAGCAAAAAACTTTCCTTAAGTCATTGTTACATTCTCGAAAAACTATCCTTAAGTCATTGTTAAGTTCCTGGGGTTGGTCTCCCTCTGAATTCCCCCTGGTAGTCTGAGTAGTCTTAGCCTGGGTAGATAGAACAATAAGTATCTTCCCCAAATCGTTTGATACTTTACTTGTTTGAAACTAAAGAGCATTGGTCTTTCAGTTTTCCCTTTGCCTGCTCAGTACTCAGGGCTCTTGTAACCTTCTATCATGCTAAGTTTCTGGGTGGGTTTACTCTCCTGGCTACATTTTTTGGGCATTGGTTCTCTGGTTGATTTTCAGCTCTCTTAAAATGAGTGCCCCAGTCAAACACAGGGTTCCTGATGGGGTCGGGCCAGTACAGGGTACAGCGGAGATACTAGCTTTTACTGTGTTGGGGATACGTTTCTTTGAATATTTATACAGACTAGTACTATATTCCTTTTCTTTAAAAGGTCACAT